CACACCCCCCCCCCCACCCACCCACACACCCACCCCCCCACCCACACCCACACCCACACCCACACCCACACCCACACCCACACCCACACCCTCGAACTACTTCGATATTTGTTCTAATCATACACTTTTCCCTTCTAATCTTGAAAAATTTGATTCGATAAGAAATAAGAAGCTTGAAATTACTTAGAAAGGATCTACTTATCTCACTCATAATATTAACCCAAATGAAAGACAATATTACAGTTGTCGCTGAAGTTTTTCCAAGAGGGTTTGGTGTCGGAGAAGGAATGCATCATCACATGTCAAAACTTTGGTCAGAATATTCACAGTCTGCTGAAGATGTGATACTGCATCGGGAATGCGATTAAGAGCATACAACGTCAATGCTATATTCGAGTGTGTTACAGCAAGAGACGGGTGATCAGATGGTAACGAATGTTCTTCAATGCTTAATGCTTTAGATTCGAAACTGAATGATGTTTCATATTCATTCAAGTCATCATAAATCGAACCTATATTAGCGTAAGTTATGGCTAAATCAGGGTGCAAAGTTGGGAGGCATTTGCTTTCCAATTCCAAACATTCTTCATACATATGCAATGCTTCCAACAACTTTCCTTGAGATTTCAGTACACTAGCAATATTATTTCGAACAGCACTAACAGCTTCGATATTAATTTGGTCGAGTTGATTAATTAAGGAGAGTGCACATTTATATTCATTGAGTGCGTCCGATAAATGCTTTTGTTCTTCTAATATTAAACCAATGCCATTGTGGGTAATTGCTAGTCCCAGGAGATCTGTTGGAGATCTTACAGTAAGTGATTCTTTGTAATGTTTCATTGCCATTGCATTATCTCCAATCTGGGCGTTGATCAAACCCAATTGATAGTGAAGACGAGCTTGTTTCCTAAAATCTTTATCATTTAAACTTAATGCTAGTGATCCTTCAATCAAAGGCTTTACCATTTTCCATTTGCCCATTTCCATCAATAGGTTCTCCAGACGATCCCAACCCGTTGGACCTTCAATCCTTTTTCGAATATAATCTGTAAGTGCATGCAACTGTTGATCGTTTTCTTGCGTCACGGCTAAATTCACATGCCAAATACCATCATCCGTATTTTCTTCAACTGATTGAATACGAAACACACTGTGCATAGAAAACAAGATTTCTTCTTCATCAGCAATAGCAGAATTGTGAGCAAGAGCAGCATACGGACATCGTGACATGCTTCCGTCAACAATAATATCGAAAATAACAGCCAAACTATCCGGATCGTTACGGAGAACAAATATCTCTGCTACAGCTGCATTTTCGCTAGTTGAGAGAAAGCTATTGAATGAAAGAAGACCGCCAACTCTATTTCTCACTTTGGAGTCGAATTCTTTTCGACTCATACCTTGACCTCGATAAACATGAAAGCAAGCAGGAGACCTTGATGACATGGTGATGGAATGAAGATGTTCAATCTGTTTGTGAAGGTGACGTAGCATGAAAGTCATTCGAACTAGAATTTCAATATTCTGACTTCGTAACGAACGATTGAGTAATTCAAAGAAAAAACATGGCTGACTATACCAATAAATCACACGATCTTGACAATAATCGTGTCGAAATCGATCTATGGTTCTTAGTGCAGCAATATCATCTGCATATTCATACCGGCAATAGTCGATGAAATCCCGTTTTGCTGTTTCATCATCGTATTCAAGGTCAAGAAGAATTTCTTTTAATAATACCGAGTACATGAATGACGAATCAAGTTCATTAGTACTGATTGAGGTAAATGTCGTATCAGCGTATCGTCTCTTTTCTTCAAGAAGTAACTTTGTTAGAATATCGATATTGTTCAATGAGATATATTTAGTCTTGCCATGGTTTATGTGCTTCTGATCAGTCAATTGTTTATCACAAAGAATATGAATTTTAAGTACTTGGTGCAGATGTTCAACCAATGGTACTAGTTCATCTTTGCGATTGGAAGAAATAATCAGATGACTTTTAGGGTTCGTAGTGTTCATAAAAAAATCAATACATTTATTTGCATCAGAAAATATTTTGGTACAATCAATGACATTTTGAAGATGATTGAATTTTTCCTGCTGTGAAGTTAATATCTCCATGTCAACGAATAGAACTACCATAAATATAGGGCGATTGCTCGTTTTATTTTCATTTGAAGTCAAAATATCTTTGCTAATATAGGACGATCGAAGATATTTCCAATTGTGCGGTATTGGTGGCCAGATTTGTTCATAAGAGGTGAGAATGAAGTTATTCGGCACTGTCGATGACACATCTCTTCGCTTTCGACGCGAAAAACAATCATATTTTCGCCACCATCTTTGCAACATTGATCTGATACGCGTTCTATATGCTTCAACCACGTGGACGGACGAGTGTTTGAGATAAGACTATTTGCAGGCAGAATGATATCGGGATGACTAAGAGTAGAAGTTTGTGCAAGGATGCAAAACTTCTTGAACCCTTCGAACGAATCACGGCGCATTTCAAAAGTCAAACTTTCATGGATGAAAACATTATCAAATTATTTACAGAGAATAATCGTTGATCCCATGTAAGTTTCAAACGCAGAAAAAAATGCACGTGAACATGTCTTTCAATGCATTTGGATGCATATGTCAAAGAAAGTAATAAGAAAATGCGTCGAAATGCAGTTTACAGATGTATCTAGAAGCATTCTACTTTTGGACGCATTTCATTTTTGTATCGCTACCCAAGCAGTCAAAAATGAGAAATTAACACATTATACTAGACACTTTTCGTTTTTCTTTCAATACCTTCTACGGATAGAGAAATGTTCGAATTTTGGTGTTTTAACAGTTCATATAGGGTGTGGGTGTGTGGGGTGTGGGTATAGGTGAGGGGTATGGGCGTGTGGTTGGGTGTGGGTGTGTGGTTGGATATATGTGTGGGTGTGGGTGGGTGTGGGTGTGGGTGTGGATGGGTGGTTGTGGGTATGAGTGTAGATATGGGATTGGAATGTTACTTCATCCGAACGCAACCCACACCTTCACTACCCATACCCACATCCAAAAATATCTTGCATGATTGCCGGAAGGACTAGAGACATGAATTTTAGGATCGCATATAATGTCTTCTGAGAATAGCCCCGGAAACTCGATTATGTCCTAGGGTAAGAGGTATATAGATATAGGAGGTATAGGAGATGTAGGCGGTATAAGAGCCATTGATTAACTGATACAGCTAATCATTCAATAGTATTTGAATTTAAAAACCTATTCATAAAATATACTGGTGCTACTTGCCGACCCTTGCTGGAAAAAATCAATTCATAAAATATATTGGTACTACTTCCCGATCCTTGCTCGAAAAGATCTATTCCTATATCTCCTATACCTCCTAAATCTCTGTACCTCTTATCCTAGGGCTTAATCGAGTTTCCAGGGATACTCTCTGAAGGCATGTAATCTAGAATCGATCGTATTTGACAATCATTTCAATCACACATGATCGAAACTAGTCTCACACATTTTTAGTGACTGTTCTGAAGATGATACTAAGTGTAAAGTGTCAATTTCAGCTGGGTGCAGCTACAAAATATCATTTGCATTAATCTACACTGCACTATGCGTGGAAATTTGTACATGCTTATGCATTTCACTGATTCTCTTTTCTTTTTCTAAACACGTTCTTTGTTTTAATCATGAGTTTTCACGCATTTTCTCTGGTTAATCTTCAATTTTACTCCTTTGTTTAGTCAAATTTTTGTTGACATCTTGTTCCTATACACTCATAAATTTCTCATTCGTCTCCTTCTCAATATGACATGCATTGATTCATTTTTCTGATGAAAAGGAAGAAAAATGATCTCATTAGAGAATGACAAGTATTGTTACCGTATTTTGAGCATTTGCATTACTCTTGGAAGTATATTGAAGTAATAAACAAAATAAATTTCTTATTTTGTCATAATTTCAATATGAATAACTCAAGCCGAAAGAATAAGTTCGAAAAAGAATTTCGATATTTCAGAAAAAGAGAGGAGCTCATTTTGTTCTTCGTATTATAATTCCAAAGAAACTGATCGAAAATTGACACTCAAACTGTTCAAAATCCTGTCGAAGGTAAGTCGTAACACCAAAGACAGATCTGTTTATTTTATGTTAAACTTGTTAAATGCTTCCTTTTTCTTGCAAATACTTTTAAAGATATTTTAATGCATAAAAGAATACTTTATTTCTGATCGAATACATGATTGTAACTATCGTTTTCAGTTTTCTGAACCGAGGAAAGTATTGGGAAGTGTTCGAATTCAGGTCCCCTGTGAAATTTGTGATGATTTAGAATACTTTTTACAATCGCATAAATCCCCTCCAAAATAAAATAAAACGTCACCGTATAATAGAAGGCTACCCGGAATAGAACGCCACCTGTGAACGATTGATTCGCTAGACATAATAGAACACCATGCCAGTCAATTTCATTCACTCACTCATTGACATTAGTCACTTTTTTCGTCCTGTCATTGATGTACGTTATTTTTGGAAGAAACATTCGTATATTTCTTTTCTTTTGTCCTGTTGCATCACACAATGAACGAATACACGGTTCTCTCCAATAGATAACGTGCAACAGTCACAGAACGAAAAAGTTGACTAGTGTGAATGAGTGAATGAATGAATGCAATCTCTTCCATCCCTAGTAAAATCAACGAATAAACCACATTTAGTCCTTGAAATGAATAAAACTAGCAGAAAGAAATGTCAAAAAAAGTATATCTATAGAAGGAATTTTCCGAAAAACCCACAATAGAACGCTACCCCAGAAAAGGTCGATTCACTGGAACGTAATAAGAAGGCCATGCCTTTTTATTTTGGGGAGGATTAAACACAAACAAATAGTTTTTTTTTCTTTCTATGATCCTAAAATAGCAGAAACTTGAAACAATATTGCCCTTGTTCTTATAAATATAAAACTCATATGTTTGGATGAAATCTTCATTATTTACTATCTTTTACATATTTTGCTTTGAAGAACAGTCAAAGTTTGCCGACTGATGACTACGTAAAGCAGTAAACATCATAAAAATGATTTATTGCTATCAGTGAAAAGAACGAAAAATTTGTTTTTACCTGTGTGGACAGATTCCCATGATGGGAAGCTGTAGTTAGACTATAAAAGACAGCGTATTAACAAGACATTTTATTCTACATAATAAATATGTCATTCAAACAATTTGAATCGATCTTTTATCCAGCCTTTGACTCTTACGGTCTGGCGGAATGGACACTTGAAAAAATGCCTAAGGGGATCATTATTGAACGAAACGCTACAAGATCGACAAACCGCAACGGATGGTTTTTTAAATCACATAATGGTCGATCTAAGTAAGCGAATTTTGTGATTGATAAATCCATCGATTGTAATTTTTTTATCATATGTTTGTTGTTTATGTAGATTTTATTGCCCGAAATGTTCTCGACAGAATAAGGCAAATGGCAAACCCATTTGGTCTTCTGTTTATACGAGGATGTTATTTGGCGCTCAATATTCGGAAGAAAATGATAAGGATGGAGTTATTTGGGGATCCGGTCGAGTTCAAATGAAAATCTTTGAACAAGGCTGCCAAACTTGTGGCACATATAGTACAGGTCATTTTGATGAATATGGCATTAGCTTTGCACTGTACTGGCTTCACATTTGGATCCTAAAAACGTTCTACAACGTCAAAATTCATGACGATGATGATCATGATCGACCACAAAGTGAAGAGCTGAGTCGTGGACCACATAATATCGACCTGTGTAATGCTTGTCGAAGTGGCTGGTGCAAGTATCAACAGCAAGAAAAACGCCATTCCAACGTGATCAAGGGCAAAAAAAATTGAGCAATTTATTTCATACAGTGACTTCAGATGGATGTAGGTATGGGTGGCTGTGGATATGATCATT